GAATGTATTCTAGTAAGTAGGGCTATAAGTGTTACAATAGGGTCCAGGGTTGTGATAGTGATCGGTAACAGGAAAACGGTGGACATTCAGAGCGTATTGGTTTGTAGCAGAAGGACGATCAGAATATTATATAATTCTTGAGTTGGTATTATATTTTACATTGTTGCATTGCTTTTCTTTGTAGTTGAATTTGATATGATCAGGCTTTTTGTAATAAAAACAAAGGCCAAGATCTAGATATTGTTTTTTATTGTAATATAATAAGGATTGTTGGTCTTGGTAAGCAGTATCTAGTTGTATAGGATCTTCAGAGGGATCAGGTGTAGGTATTACAGCAGCGATAGCAGGTTTCTTTTCATTGGGTTTTTTCTGATTGCTGAAGTTGATGCTTTGGTTCTTGTGTTGATTATCAAGATGAATCTTTTTCTTTAAGTTATTGTAGATATCTTGCCACTAGACTATCCATATATCAATATTAGTAGCAAAGGTTTATTAGGATAGTTAATTAAAGTATCGATTAGTTTTTATGAAACTTTGAGTTTAAAATCAACAACTTGTTGTTCAGCAGTCTTCTTGCATTTGATAACAAGCTGCTTGAATTCGGTAATAAAGTTATCAAATAGGGTCTTCTTCATTTTATATTTATTGTAATCTATGGAAGCTTTGTGTGAGAAATCTAGAATCTAGTATTGCTTGTTTAATTTATACTAGATGCTTACTACAATGCGCCATCCAAAGGGCTAAAGGTTAGAATTATATGTGTTATCTGTAATTATATCAAAGTGTATCTGATTGTTTGTATAAGTAGGGCCAGAAAGTAGGCTAGTAAGAAATGTGATTTTCTGAAACTCTAATTTATTTTTGTAATCCACGATCAAATAACGATTGATTATATTATAAAAAATCGTATACTGATCTTAGTACTTTATAATATCTTACTTATTACCACTAAACTTTTCAGAAACAATAAGATACTTGTGATGAAATAAAGCTTACGAATTATTATAAATAGTAATTTTCAATATCTCAATTGTATCTTTCAATTCGACAATCTTTGATTGAGTATCAATAGCTTGAATCTAAGCAGTAACAGTTTGGGCTTGTAATGAGCCTGTAATTGATTCGATCGATTCAAACACAGCTTGAGCAGTAATGAAGTATATAGCATTTGGATTATTAAATAGATTTGTAAAGGGAGAGATATCGGTTTCAGCGGAGTTGAGAATATAGTTCAAGAAAAGGAATTGTGGAGGTAAGCCAGATGCAGATGTTTTTGGTGTAGATGTTTGTTTATTCATCTTCGGCACTTTTTGAGACTCAAAATATCGGTGGCAGGGTGTACAATGAATCAATGGTAGATGTAATCAATACAATTGGGATAAGGTATCGATAGGGCTTTGGAAATAAAATAAGAAATAAAATTGTAATAGTTTATTTGAAGATGGTACAAACTGTTAAGGTATGGATAAAGACTTATATTGTATTATAAGGGTAGAAGAGCTATGGAAGAGTGAAGCCCTACTTATAGAAAGTAGGGCACGCTAGTATGCTGTGCCTGAGGCACGAAGGCAACTACAGATCATGTAGTTGGCGCCGTGACACAAATCCATAATTATTATCAAATTTGTTATTGTTCTTTATATATAATAACCAATAATCTTTTATCTTATAAGCTTTTTGAAAAACAATCTTTAATAATAATAATATATCCAAAACTCTTTTGGTTTTTGAATCAATATTTTGAAGAATTAAAGTATTATCAGATTGTTACTAAATCGATTTGATTATAGATACTTGAGGGCATAAGCTCCTCTTACGATAACATTACATTGTATAATATTGAGAAATAAAAGAAAGTGTTATATTTGCTCAATTTATATGCGAATTGTAATATTGTAACTATAGCAAGCCAAAAATAATTAGTATATTGAAGGAGAGTTTTGTAATAAAGAATATCCAGATTTCTAAATATAATTCTATTACTATAAATATAATAAAGTATTCCATAATAATATCTGCTATATTATTATTAACTAAGCAAAGCTGTTAATAATAGGATAAGAGTTAAATGTGAATTTTATATTGATTGATAAATGATTGATTAGTGAATACTTTATCAAAGTATTTACTATCAATCAGACTAATTATATTAAAAGGGGAAGTGTATATTGGAAACATAATAGTTTGGATAAATAGAGATTTGCTATTTATAGAACTAAGTTATAACGGCTCAGTACTATCTACAGTATATCTTATCCATTCCTTATTTCTTGATAACCTCTATGATCAATTTATTATGAAGGTGATATATTTCCCAAGAACTCGTATATGCTGTTGGATGGTGATGGTGATATTGTATTGTTGTATGGAGAGATATTAGAGACACTTTTTGAGAGTGCTAAAGAATTATTCTCGATATAACTATGGACTGTATTAAGCTGTTATCACGTGTAGGGCTGTTATTGATAATCATATTTCCAAAAGTCATTCTGATTGTAATTGCTATTACTTCGATATTGTCCACCTTGGTCGAATTATTAATTTCCTTTTCCGGCATTATTGCAATTATATTCTAATACCCCTTTTAAGGATTCTGTATTGTATTCTCTAATTACTTATTGTGTATCGATTTGTTTTTTCATATTACAATTCTAGATAGAATAATCTGGTTTCTTATAGTAATAGTAAAGGCTGAGACGACACTCCTTTTTGTATTGTTATATTTTGTTTTGGAATTTGATTATATCAAGCTTTATAGGGTTACTATATGGAGTGGTGGCAAGTGTAGGGGGGGGTTGTGTTGAATCGAGATTAATTGTGATTGTTTTTTGATAAACTTATATTGTAATGATCATTTTCCTAGTAATTCTGATTCCAAATTGTAAATTTCTTTTTCTACCTTTCAATATCATCTAGTGCGCAGGGGCTTAAGTCTATACAAATCATAAGTTTTAGTTTTTTAGAGACTTTTTGCTTTAAAATAAGAATTATTTTTTGATTAGACTTGTAATATTGATTGTCTAAATGTTCCAACTATATATAGAATATTGCAAAGGCCTGTTTCTCTGATATCTTGAGTTTATCAAACTGAATTACTGCTTCCTGTTCAAAGTCGATTGTAACATAAAGGCTATCAAGCTTTTTGAGAAACAAATCAGTAATTATATAGACCGAGTTATTTTGTAAAATATTATCAATATCTTTAATCGTTCTTGGTATGTATATTCTCCGATAAGGAAGGCTATATACAAAAGTTTCTTCTTCTTAATATCAAATACAATGATATCAGATATCCAGCAAATTTGTAATCCTTGTTTTCAAGCTAGATACTTATTCTATTATACTATTATATTAGTCTTCTCTCCTTTAAAGGTTTCCAGGTTTTTGAAGATTTATCGCTGAGTGCTAATAGGTAAATTGAAGGTCTAGTGTCACGGGGTGACACTAAGCCCTTTCTGTCCTGTCCTGTCCTGCTATATATGTGAGAGTAAGGTAGAACTTCCAGTTCTACCTCCTAGTCTTTTGGGCGTTTAGCTCAGCGGTAAAGCTTCTGAATACTCCCAGAGGTGATCCCGTGACATCTAGGCTAATGTATTTTGTAATAATTGGGAAAGCTGGTTTTGTAATACTATATTCAGTTGTATCTAGATTTGTAAGTAGATTTGTATATCAACCAGGGCTGTATGCTCGTTGCTCAGATCTATATCCATTCTAATTTGTATGTTATGAAGTGACTCTAATGAATTATTAATAATGCTATATAAATAGTATAAGTATAATTATTCATTCTTAGAAAGACTGAGCACTAGATTTTGAAGATTGGGGTTGGAGATGTTTGAAAGTTTACTTACAAGTTATTACCATTCAGCAAAAACAATTCGAATACTTGTTCTAAGATTATCGAATATTTGAACTCCGTTTTCTGCAAACGATGAATTAGGTATATCCGTTATTTTAAAGGCAAAGATAAAGATAAGGATAAAAACAAAAATAAGGATAAAGATAAAGATAAGAATGAAGATGAGAGTGAAAATGAAGTTTTTATCAGAGTATTATTATCAAAATCGAATTGCTATTGATATATAACAATAGGACCTTTAAGAAGATAGAATATATTATCACGGTGTAAGGAATAGATATTAGATTGAATATATGATATTCTACAAAGAGATTGAAAGTGGTACGATGTAACTTTGCCATATAATGACAAAGATGACTAAGCATCCACTACGCTAATATACTACGCTAGTGAACCCGTGACAATTCTAGACGTACTAAGGAGCGGGCCTACGGGTCGCTAGCGTTCCAGCCGCTCATAGTAGTGTAATGTTAGCTAATCAGGGGCTTGTTGCCTCTGGTGTTCCCCCGCTCAGTACCGCTCATGGCGATCCTGCGGCTGTTCTGTCTAAGGGTTTGTGGTCCTGTTTCAGAGGGCCTTATATTATTATTATAAACTTTCTGAATTTCAGATTTTTATTTCAAAATGTTATATTAATTTATTCAAATTATCTCAATTCTAGATTTCAAATATTTTCATTGCTTTTTTAATTTTTAATTCAATTTAATATAACATTTTATATAAATAATAAGAGCGTGCATATAGTAGGGCCGTGTACATAGTAGGGATATCGGTTGTGAGGATTCATAATAAGTCCACTAAATCACTTATTAATATCTTACTAAATAAGGGATATCTTGATGACTAATACACATATAATATGATCTTATATTATAAAATCATATTATCATATAGTTGTATAATAGTATCTCTTATCAAATTGATTTATAATGGAATAGAATGAAATGGAACTAGATGGAAGTATACAGGAAATATCGCTAAATTGATTGGTTGTACTTTCTTTTTATTATCTAAAATGATTCTATAAGATACGATTTAAATCGATCTTATTTATAAGCATAGAATATACTGGAATTTCATTATAAACTATATAAACCTAGAATATTCTTTAAAGAAAATCTAGGAAAAAGCAAGCAATTCATCTCAACTCAGCCTAGCTCTTCTAAATTGACTTCAATTCAACTCTTATTCTATATATTCGATTTATCCCTCAAGCTTAAACTGACTAGATCTTCCACTATCATTATAATAATACTATTCCTTATTATTATAAAAGCTAACCTCCAAGATCGGTTATAATAATATAATTAATAAAATAAATTATAGTATTGAAGAATAAAACACATCAAAAATGGAAAAAATGCATTTCGGCTAGTAGGAGTGCACGATAACTGTAGACATGTTTTTGAGAGGAAAGTGAAAATGCGATCATAAGCATCAGACGTACTAACATCGATGCAATATTAAATTGAGACAGTTGTACATCATAAAAAATTACTCGTTGATCCTACATGCCAGTTTCAATTTCAGCAAAAACAACAGACAATTCCCCTTTACATCTCCGCCAAATTATACCCATTACCCTTTTCCATTGCACTCTTCCAAGCATCTCTCTCTTGTATCCTCTTTCTCCACTGGAAAATCTTGGGGTACTTCTCAAAGTCCACATACTTCTTTGCAGCCAAGAAATCCATGGGCCAACTCAGCATTACATCAGACCTTCCCAAATTCTTTCCATTGAACCAGTCATCTGTCAGTTCCTTCTCCAGATATTGAAATTGAGTTGCATATTCCGGCCCGGTGAAGCTTTTATGTACGTTCGACTTGACACCACCGAGTAATATTGATAGTGGCCACGGAGATCTTCCTGCCACGATATCAAATATCAACTCAATCATTCCGATAGTTCCAATAGTCGACCCAGCGAAGGACGACAAACTCTCATCGCGAACCTTATCCTGTGCGGCAAATCTACCATCTTTATCGTACGTATCAATCAGGTATCCGAGGATTGCACTACTTTCTGCGATGGGCACATTGTCGGATGTGACAAGAACTGGGGCCTTTCCCATGAAATGAACATTTTTGAGTTCGGGTGGTGCACGACCTTCCACGCGTGTATGGCATACGAGGTTGTATTCAATTCCCAATTCTTCGAGAAACCAGAGGATTCGTTGGGATTGGGAGTCCTACATGAAGGGATGGCGTCAGCATGTGTGGGTGCATTTGGTGGGGGGACGTTGGTTTATACTCCGTAGGTTGGGACCGATGGAATGATTGCCCGGCCCACTTACATTGAGGTGGTGGAAGGTTGGGAGTCCAGGTTTGTTTGGAGACGCCATGATTAACGTCGTGTAAGATTTTCATGTAGTACTAGTGAGAAGACGATAGTCGTTAGATGCCAGATGAGGTGCCACGATTTATACATGTCGTCGTCTCCCCGGACTCATGTTTCCATCCGGCCCGTTCGGAATTGCGCGTTCTGGGGTTAAAGTTGAACTTAGAACCTTATTAGTAAGGCATTAACTTCTTTTCTTTTGTATGAACTTCGTGCCATCATACGACTCAGCGCAACCAATCTTATCTTATACTCGCCGCCATGTATACAGCTGATCAGGTGCCAGCATCGATAACAATCGATAAAACTTTGATTTAAACTTCTTCCAATTGATGATTGGTCTTGTGAAATCGAGTGGTGGGTAGTAGTCTACACAAAGCTGGGCAGAAGCATCTCCGACATGGATAACTGCATATGCAGTGAACATGCAGTGACAAGATTGTTATCGCCCGCACCCAAAGGCCTCTTGTCAAGTCACTATAATTCCTTCAGCTAGTAGTGAGGATTCATAATTGAATCATATCTTCGACTTCTTGATCACTTGCTATCCCGCTTTTTCTCTTCACACCGAGTCGTGAACTGTGTTCTTATTATGATTACCATGACTACCGTCAAACCAAAACCGATAGTTCTGCACATTGGTGACCCAGTCAAATGGAACCTTGATTTATATGAACAGTTTTCTAAGGATTTTACAATTATACGACCTTCTACAGAAGAGCGTCAACGTGATGAATTCATGAAAGGCTTGAAAGAAAACAGATGGGGCAACTTTTCCGCCATATTTAGACCGTTCTGGAATACTGGTGGTGAAATGGGTAGATGGGATTCGGAGCTCATCCCTTTAGTACCTGAATCATGCCAAATATTCGCATCTGCCGGGGCTGGTTTTGATTGGGTCGATGTAGACCTTTTGGCCGACCGAGGTATGGATTCTTGTGTGATAAGTGTTCAGCCTGTGTTACTAACGCATGATCCGGATAGGTATTTTCTATTGCAACAGGTTTGTGTGACTTTTAGATTTTCCGCATATGTAATTAATAAATTTGTGCAGCGCCACAGCTACTACCGAATCTGTAGCAGATTTCGCTATTTTCTTGATCTTAGCTACATTCAGAAACCTCACTTGGTGGGTTTACAATCTTACCTGGATCACACATTATAAGTGCTAACACACATAAGGTGCACCCAAGCTGCTCGTTCTGGTGCTGCTTCGTTCCAAGATTGCCACACCAATGCCGCAGCTATGTCTCACAATCCTCGTGGCCACACGCTAGGTATTGTTGGCTTGGGAAACATTGGCTATAACATCGCCCGGAAAGCTTTTCTGGCATTCGGAATGAAAATCCTGTACTACGACATCGTCCGAAAGACTCCATCCCAGGAAGCTGCCATTGAAGCACAATTCTTTACTGATTTGGATGGCATGCTAGCCCTTAGTGATTGCGTAGTTCTTGCTACACCTGCTTCTCCAGATGGAAGAAAACTTCTTGATCGACAGAGGTTGAGCAAGTTTAAGGAAAAAAGTAGATTTGTGAACATTGCAAGAGGTGTCTTAGTGGACGAGCAAGCATTGGCCGAAGCTGTTGAGTCAGGAAAATTGGTGGGTGTAGGACTGGATTTTCATGAGCATGAGCCCAGGGTAAACGACAGGTTAAAGGCTTCCGGGAATGTCACACTTACCAGCCATAATGCTGGTGGGACACTTGAAACGTATGCCTTTTTACATAAATTGTTTCACAGATTGCTGACACTTCTACAGCCACATTGGATTTGAGGAATTGGCAATGAAAAACATCGATGCAGTTTTGAAAGGGAGGGAGCCATTGACACCGGTGAACAAGCATTTGATTGGGAAGGCGAAGCATACTTTGTGAGGATGTATCTCGCCAAGTAGGTACTATGGCAAGTGGGCCTCGGGAAAAATATTAGGAGATACAACTACTCCGCATGTTATCCCAGAGACTTTTGAACGAAACCAGTATCTGGAAGGTTTCAAATGGTAGTCGAATCTGGAAGAATGTGGTGAAATTTGATCGCAGTTCAGTAAATGAAGGAAGGTGCATGGGAAAATTTCGAGGCATGGATTAGTTTCCAATGTTTCACATCAAGTAGCACTACGAGACTCATTCTCAAGATGAAAATTATTTGTATGGATCACATTATGCACATCTCAAAGCAGTTTTAATGATTCAATGAAATATCGATAATCAGCTATAGAATTGTCCTATTTCATGATAGCTTCAGCGAAAAGAATCAAGTTACTTGACCTTGGAAGTTCATCTGCCACTCCAAATTCAAGATAAATATCTTACCCCGAACCCCTGTTGCAATTAGAAACAAATCCTACACTGGCGGGTGAACTGATTGAAGGAATGTTGCTAAAATTGAACTCCGCGATATCTTTTGGATTGTTGATTGAAGCACCTAAAAGGCAGAAAGATTCGCCACCAATACGATAATGAAATGATTGGTTACGATATTAATCAATTGGGCGTTGGATACATTATAAACATTACATCTGTCAATCGATATGCCCAGTACCAACCCACTGGTGCCCTAGCAATTCTGACATCTGAAAGACATGCGCGGGCCTACCCAATTAGTCAAAATCAGATGCATGTTGCTAGGAAATACCAAACATCCTTCAGGGTGAAGTCTACCATCTCCTCACGCGCTGGCCAGGAACCCAGGTACGGGGTGCGCTGTCCTGGTCTACCTTCGTTGAAATGTTCAGGATTCGTCCGTGATTCCATCTGACACCACCATGTGCATCCGAACATTTCCAAACATCATCAGGCTTTTCTGGCAGTAATCCATATCTATCTTTCGATGATGACTATCCGTTGGCGATTTTCCAACAGAGCCCGGATTTGTTTGGGATGGGCAGCGGGTGACAGTCCAGGTGCAAGTGCTAGTACCGTAACTACCTGGACGTTCGTGTTCTAGCGAATCTTTGTGGCGACTATAAATAACACTCCGGACTGGAACATGGGCTTTCCTGACATCAGTATTCGACAGGTTGGTTGGTATATTACATGGTGTATTTAGCTGGTTGACATATCGCTCGTCGACAGACTTCATCCATTGAATAGACTTTCCCCACTCGTATCTATGATCTGCAAAGCAATCAGATGGATAACGACCAGTTGGATGTTCGAAGTAAGCGCCTAGTTGAAGTTGCTGGAGATTTGGTAGACCAGAAACCACTTTACCTAAGATACTATACATCATGCCGTAGTCATACCCCATCTCTTTTTCCTTTTCGGCACTTCTATTGTCGGTGTCAAAGGCGAGAGAGCGCTGATGCAAGGTGAGCTTGCGTAGTTTGGGACAGACCTCTGCTATTATGAGCGTATACATGGGCAGAATTGCTCCAAACCCGAGCGCCGGGTTTCTTTCGCCACGCGTCTTGAGAGTAAGCGTAAATCCTCCATCAAATTTAATGTCTCTCAGTAGTGAAGAGTTATTGCGTCCAATGTACGCCATAAAACGAACAAATGGATCTTTTGCAATGAACGCTGGCTGATAGCATTCTAAATCGAAAAGTTTCTCAATAGCGATACTAATAGTGGCCTTACTGGGTAACTCCTCAAACAGCGGAAAACCAGGGACATCCCATGGGTCTTCAGCTGGTGCATCCTATGACAGTCTGATACATTAAACTCATATTTGTTCTCTCCGTAAAGAATTACAATGCACTCTTGCTCCATTTGTTTGCAAACTCGCATGATACTGACAGAACGACCAAACGGGTGTATTTGAAATTCGGTCTTCTTTATGATTTGAGGACCAAATCCGTCTCGATGATGTACAGCACATTTAATTTGCCGACCAGGCTCCGAGAAATCATCAATCGTGAATTTTTTGGCTCCACTTTGAATAAGTTTGAGTTCCTCCAGGGTAGGGTTTGTAGTCCATGCAATTTCTTGAATAATGGTGTTACCATCGACATACGTCTCTGGAATAGGCGCCTGGGCCCACCCGTAACTATATTTTCGTTGAAACCTACAATGCTTGTGACCTTCGGCTTGACTCCCTGTTGCAAATAGGTACTCCCGTTTGCGAACCCTTGGGACGATAGCAACCGGTCTCAAAAGGATGAGTCGCCAAATATCATCGCGAATCTCTATTGTTTTATTAGTTCCTAGAGTCAAGATGAGAATATTGATTGCTTACCTCTAGGAAGTTTGTCGAGGAGAGCACAAACAGGCTTTGAGTTTTTGTTACTGGTTTGAGCATCATAGCATCTGTTGTCGAAGCCTTTGAAGTTGTATCAACATCCTGTATCCGTTCTTTTCTCGCCATTATGAGTGCGACAATTGCTAGACAGGCAATCTAAACGATGAAAATGTTTTTGTGATTTTGGGGTTTAGGCAAGGAGATTTTGACGTAGCTGGATAAGCTAGCTGTAGTTGAAAGGGAGCAGAATAGATAGGATAAGTCTGTTTATGACTATTGAAGGCGAATCAAATATAGGCATGTATTATTGGAGTCTTGTAGAACTATATACTAACAACATAAAGAGTGAGTTAGTTGTACTGGCGTACTAGAGTATCACGCTAGTTTAAGCGTAGTAGTGAATATGTGGCTATCACCTAATTCAAACGATGATACAACCGAGATCTTGACTGATACTGTAGGGTGGCATAGAACTAGCACTTTATACGAAATATAGTATGGGCAATTCATAGATCCGCCCAGGACTCTCAGTATTTACTAGTCTAATATGCAAACTGATATCAATTCTTCAATCTTTTTGACCTCCAACTTGAAAATTGAACATTTTTCAGTGGTGAACTGCATTCCGAACTATTGAAGATTTTGAAGACTACTGTAATAGATTACTTTGATTGAAATGTTTTGAGAAAAAGCAATACATCCACATTCATTGATTGAATAAAAATAGAGCCAAGTACTATTTGGTGAAAAATAGAAGACGTGGGTGAATTGACACATTGATTGATCATCTACTATACGAAAGAAGGAAAAAGCTGAATGATGAGAAGAATAGTTAACCTCACTAGCAACGCGCATTTTACACCATCGGGTGGTGCCCAATAAATACTGAGTCCTTTAGCATCCTCATCCCTTCATTCAGAGACATTTTCCAGTACTACGAATGCGCGAGGCGATTTATGCTACCTCGAACTCATCAACTTCGTGGTTTTTCCCCCATTCTCCTTTCTCTCTTCGCGTTCTGATTCTGCCAGTGTGCGGCTCTGGGCACGTCGTTCAACGAATCCTATCCACTTCAAAGCCATCCCCCACTCGTCCTCTGGGTGCACCAATTTTATGATATCACTACCAGGAGTATCCGGATCATATCCACACCCGGCTGGTACGAATTCATATCGGCCCAATTGTAGTTTCTGAAGATATGGAAGCGCATGAACAAGTTTCTCTACAGACTCATTTATTTGCTGGTCCCTGTCCATAACTCGCGGATCCAGCCGCTTTATTTGAGGATAGCCCCGGTCGTCGTCATGCAAAATTAGGGTATGAATGTTTTCACAAACTTCTTTGAAAATAATAGTATAAATTGGAAGAAGGTCATGAAGTCCGACTGGAATAGACTTCGTGTACTGCCATTTACCGATGATCCAGTTAAATTTTCCCTGAATGACAATTTTGGTAAACTTCGAAGCATTTTCCCGGCCAATTTCCATCAAAAATCTAGTGAATGGGTCCTGGTAAATGAAGTTTGATTTCTGTTCGTTTTTTTCTAGGTCTTTATAAGCGAATTTCAGTTTGTCTTGATCCTGTTGGAAGATCAAATCAATAGAGTGAGAAATCTGTTCTGCAGTTGGCATAGTTCCATCCTTACGTTGATGACCAGGAATCTCATCAAAATCATGCGAAATTTGGTCCATGGTGACAACACTTTGAGGTCCGGTGAAGCTTGGAGAGCCGCGTGTGTCAAAAAGAAAGGAGTTCTCCCCATAAGTACGGCAAGTCCCAATTTGCTAAGATGTTTGCAAGAACGCAGGATCGCAACTCCTGATATTGCGGTAAGAGTTATTTTCGATCGGTGAATGACCTGAACACCAAAGTCCTTACGATCATGTAAAAAGCCTTGGATTTTCCGACCTGTTTTGGTTATTGTTGTAAGCTTATTATACCCAGCTTCGATGAGTTTTGCCTCCTGCTTCGTAGGAGTTGCCGCCCAGAATATTTGTATAGGTTTATCTTCCATATACTGGGGAAGACGATGCAGTTCATATCCCTCTTGACGTGCCTCGCTCCATTGGTATCTATAGTGCAGTACTGGGGGCTCGGCCCTACCACCTTTTTCTCGAATAATAACTGGCATTATGTGTGTCTGGGGAACCAACATGTCTCTCAAGATCTTCTCTAAAACGTCTAAAATAGTTAGATAACTCTTGGGAACATAAATAAAAGCATTGGACTTACTTGTGGGAAGATCTAAAAGTCCTATTCTTTTTTTAATTGGGGAATACTTTTGAAATGAAGACTTGTTTCTCTTCCAATGCTCACTTGAGAGGGCGAAAGGATTGTCATAAACCTTAGCCTCATCATAGAGTTATAGGCATTCATTGCAAGGCGACTTATTGATGGTTTTCTGAATTGTCTTTTGGTTGAAGCACTCTGATTTGGAAATTATGAGATAATTTAAGATATTAGATTATTTCTAAGCGCTTATGTTTTAACTACATTAAAATTTTAATGTAGAAGCCGTACTTACAGCTGTGGTCCACGAGGCCGTTAGTATCATGATAATGTGAGTTAGCAAGCGAAAGATCTTGCAACCTATGCTCATTGCTTGCGTCACACTACATGGAAACTTTAGATCTCGAATTTATAGCCCCTCGCGACTTAAATATGACAAACATAGTGAGAGGCGATTTTCAAAGAGATGGTTATGTGATGGTTATGTGAGTTCTGCAAACAGATTCTTACTTGATTGTCTTCATCTGTTGGAAATAAAATGTATCAAGAACTTTGGAAGCCTCCAATTAAATGGACTAATCAATATAATTAGAATTAAAACAATTCCACTGTTCGGTGAGCACAAGAAGTCGCAGAAGTGTGTCCAAATGTACCTGTTGATGTGATGCTCCCCTGAGATTCACCTAGACACAGACGACGTCAAATTCAATTAGATCCAAGCATCCTCTACTTCCTAAGTTTCAACTCCAAAGAAAAGCGAATTGATTTTTCGTTTTGAAATTTCCTGTGAAAGAGTTGAAAATAAATTTGACCTATCGAAAATTACAACGCATAATGTTAAATCCAAGATTACCGAAGTGGAAATTTAGTGACCATTAGTTTATGTCTTGGTTGAGCTTCATTTGGTTGACGAGAAAAACTTGGCATTCACCGCCTACATGGAAGTAGGCGTGGTATGTTGTGGAACTTTGGTTTCTTGACATATTACATCATGGCGTAGAGCTCGAGACACGTTCACAGATCACCGTGACATTCAACCATTATATCAATATGAGATAGCAGATTTGCTACATTAACCACTGAATAGAGGTAATAAGTATGATTAATTTGTACATCTAGCTTTCCTCTAGATGACTTGAACGTCTGTACATAGACACTCTATAAATGGACTTTTCTGCATACAACCTCCCATCCTCATGTACTTGTGTGCATTCCCAAACCCATTCCTTTTCCGAACACGAAAGTCCATTCAATTGCAACAACTGCGGTACTATTTCGCTATCAACTTCAGGTTTCCATTCGCGAAACTGAGAGAAATCATCGGGTTCTCCATCCGGATTGTTGGTGAAATATCGGATTTCGTAGCTCCCACTCAGCTCTTTGGGTTCCAGTCGAAGTACAATAATCCAAGGAAAAACTCTTAACTTATCACTAGAAACATCTCTTGACTCATTCAGATTCGAGTGAAACTTGTTACAGTAAAAAAATCTTTGAAGCTCACTAGGACTTGGGGGTGAGCGCATTGAGAGACATGAGAATTGCACTCGGGTATCAATCGGATTGGCAGGTTGGTCCGACATTTTGCTTTGGATATCGAGGGACTCTTAGTCGGACATTTGTATGCCTATCATATGGGAAACACCTTTCATAGCTCTGGTGATGTCGGCGCTGAGACTTATATAATTATTAGCAATATTGATATCACATCAATAGTAATGTGACTATTTAGTCCTTACTGGGTTCCATACTAGTTATAACAAGCTTTTTGCACGTGAGGCTAAATCCGTGTGATCATCTGAAGCGCGGGTATCTATGCTAGCCAATGTTTCGGGGAAGTATTATCTCAGAGGACTGAATAGAAAAGGAGTCTGATGATAAGTTTCTAGACAATGGTGGGAAATGACCAAGTATCTCCTGTTTGATTCATGCCGTTTGTGTTTTAAACGCGTGTCCAAACATCACGCGAGTGACGACAGCCAGCTGGCATATTCAAGGAGTCATAAGAAATGGACGCAGTCATAATAAGTATTTAAATAGACTTGCAACGAAATTTGAGTGGTAAACTAACATCAAATTCCATATTAGATGGCAAACGATGATCATGAACCATATTGAGACGAATGAATCATCTTCAAACTATTCATCTCGATTGGCTATCAGCTTCCTATGCTGTCGTCATCTTTAAGGCCCATAAACCATGATTTCCTCCATAGTAAAGGCCTTTGCATTATTTTGAAGTTGCTCATTGATATCAATAAAAATGTCAAATTTTACCATGGTCGAGCTACATTACCAGAACAAGTTAGCCTCTCTTTCATGACGTCCATTAAAGAAGTCAACAGTTACTCAAATTGATACCCCTATCCGATCCGATTAATCCATCTCTTAATATAAGTAGCTTGAGAGAAAAAGATGACCATCTCGACTTTTTGCAAGAGCTTTGAACAATGAATCCTCTAGAGGGGCCAAAATCACAGCAGAACCACATGCAATTAACTCTATTTCCCCAAACGGAGAAGGGAATGGAGATAATGACGAGTAGGTTATCTATACAACTTTAGCGTGATGTCATGTCATGTAAAGTATTACTTCTTTTGCGGCCCAGGATGCTATTGTAGGTATAAGGGAAACATTTACACGAGAATAAGGGCTTGTGGTTTGTGGTTTGTTTTCACTTGTCATCTGTAATATGATGAAATACCAGCTGCAACTAATTATGACCGACAAATAAGTATATCACCTGGCAATTGTTTGAAAACCCGTATAGCTTGGCTTTCATATGTTTGCTTCCTCAACCTTGACATTATTCAATCATGGAAGAGTTACATGACAACAAGTCATGACTTGAAACGATGTAACGAACAATTTCAGTAATGAGAACAGTATTTGTATGGAAGATTTAGGACCTTCAATGGCCTGGTCGGGAGTCTGACAGTGATAGTTCCATAGCATTCTGAAACGAACTAAAACAATTCAAATTTACCTCATAAATTCTGGAATAGCTCTCTTGAGATTCTCGACTTTCCACCTCGAACTTGCTCTTTTTTGATCATGGATTTTCCCTTGGAAAATGTCTTTACGCCCTGTTGCGAGAACCTCACCCTCACTGATACCGGCAGCTGCCAGAATCCGCCAAGAGAACTAGCTCAATTCTTCAGCCCCGTAGTTATGAATCCCTTAGAAGCTCTAAACCATCGTCCCGAATCCTTCTCACTCCTCGATACCCTATACATAATCCAAATTACCCCAGTCTTTTGTGAAGGGAGATACCAGATGGGCAGACGACCAACACAATATTTCATTCGAGTCCCCGAGAACTCGGAGCCTGAAGATCCAAACAAGTTTGTTCGATTTGTATCCACTGGGCATTTGAGCGGAGAGAATGAATGGAAACATTTATACTTTGGGGAAGAGGGGTATGATAAGAGAGAGATTTTTGGTTGGAGGTGTGAGGATACTTGGGATCATGACTGGTCGTATGAAGTGGTAGTTTGGAAGAAGGAATAATGTTTGGAGCGTGCAAGAAGATCATTCCGCAAAGGTATTTGGGGGAATTTTGGCACAGCATATGGGTTTCATGCCAGGTTGAATAATTTACTTATATGATAATGATGGTTGGTAACGTATAAAGTAGGAGGGTTATAGGGCTATTCAGGGGAAAGCGGGGGGTGCGAAATAACGCGTTTCTCATTCACGTCTGCATTCGCAATCCCACTCTCAACTACAAACACAAGGGTTCTAGAAGAACGTGTGCAATGGACACCCAAAATCTCCCAGCGTAGAGGGATCTTGTGATATGTTATATCAATCAAACCGTTTTTTTTTACATGCGAGAAAAAAACCCCTCAGGGAGTTCTAGTGGTCATGAGCACCGAAATGCCATCCTATATCGATACCAGAAGTTTGCATGCATTGGAAGCTTGGACTGCCTAAAACATGCAAGTGATATAATTCTCACGCCTGGCAAGCTAGATGACAGATCATTGCGAGCTGCTGCAAGACGTGTACCAAAAATTGTGATAGAATAATTAAGAAGAGGTCAGGACTTAATCTTACTCAATTACAAGTCAGATGATGAGGTGAGATATCTGAGAATGATGAGACAATTGTGGGGAGTAGGATTGAACAGATGTGTACGCATATATATATTTATGAGTTGATATCCTGCTATGGGTGCTCCAAGCTCACCAGTTCTAATTCAATGGGCAAAAAAGCTTGCGTGTAATTCTCTGACATATGATCTCACAGATCTAGGCGGAGCTACAGGTGGATTGGGAGATCTGTGACTAAGTTAATCACACACGTATAACTCTTTCCATGATGCTTTCAATGATCGTTCAGTTCTAGTTCTCGTGCCAAATCATGCAAATTGTCGTATGTATGGAACATGACTGACGTTGATTATTTAAATAAGTCTCAGTAACTTTGGCAGACTGCGCTTACCACGGTCATTCTTGGAAATGTGTGTGACATGGATGTTTTGTATCAGTTTGCTCTACACAACTCCCAGATTCGTTTGAAGAAAGAATCACAGAGCAACATATGCTAAAGTTTTTGATGTGACCCTGAATTCTCAGAGGGATCTGATAGAATAATGTATCTATGAACTATGATAGTGGGAATGATGGATGGTAGTGGAGGTTTCTCGATGGGAGGGGTGAATGGGCCAAGCGAAAAGAGCAGCTCTGTAACGCCAGACACCCCATGCACTGCTTGCAATCACGTCTCTTGAAAGCGATGGAGCAATATGAAAGATAATGACTCCAAATGTTAGATGAAAACTGCACATCAGATCGTGACAACTCTCCTAGATGCATGACTTCATGAATACTCAAATGCCAACTGATTGACACGGCGACAAATGAAAATCTAAGGAAATTTAGATATCCGATAGAATAGGGGAGATCACTTGCACAGAAATCCTGCGGTAATTGCTATTTCTTGGCTAAAGCTACTTGCTTCATACAGAAGGGAGAGGGAGCAAACTCGATAAACAATATACCTACCTATGTACCAGTAAATATAATCCTAATGCGATGTCATAATAGAGTTATCTTTTCAATTTCACCAATTCTTTAAAATGTGGAGTTTTCCCCTTAAATAAGCTCAAAAATCCTTTCCCTGCCGGTAGATCAAACCCCTCTAACTTAGCGCTGACAGGGACCCCCAACTGCGCCACGGCCAGCGTGTCATTGACCACTTACAGGGCTCATCTATTACGCCATGGCCCCTTCGTTTCAATCTCCATCTAATCTTGACCACCAAACAAAAGAATCTCAAACCTTTAAAAAACAAACGTGCAGAAAAGACGAGCTGAGAAATGCACGACGACGCACAAACTAGATATCTTGAATACGAGAAAAGATGGGGGGGGGTACTGTCCTCTCTTTTGTATCTTCATTTCTTCTTTATTGATTCGTGTTGCTTGATTCAACATTCTTGGTAGGTTATTCACTCGGTCGGCCAACCTCATTGTTTTCCTGCCCTTTTTTATTATTATAACAGTTGTTTTGGTTTGCATATGCATATGAACTGGTCGATTTAACTCTCATTGTGTTGATCCAGTTTCGAAACATATATTTCGTTCTATATTTCATTCTAGTCTGTTACATTTCTAGCAGTCGTACCACACCACAGCACTCACGACGTTGATAAATTCTTCCGGGCCTCGGCCAGCAGATCCTTTAGAATGAAGATATTCTCTCTGCCGCCTATTCCTTTAATCTTATTATTTACGACCATTAATAAAGTCCTCGCACAGAAAGATAATGGAGAAGATTGTTCATGTTTTCGGACGGATAGTGCGTCATCTGGATATTTCACATACCATCGATTCCATGATTTTCGAACAGTAGCAGCAGCTTCGCAGACTGTGCCCAATTTAATTTCGAATGAAAGTGATACATCGAATGCACTGGCAACATCAGAATTCTTCTCGGGGCAGGCTTGGAATAATGATTGGTCGACGCAGAATTGGAATAATAGTGATTCAATGGAGAGTGGAAGTGGTGTGCTGATGGTTAATTCGGCAAATAATGTCTACATTGGTATGTTTTAAACTACCCTTCTCTCCTTCTGCCACTCGAGGTATTAACACGCCATTCGCAGAAACCTCTACCGATAATGATACCTCCTACAATACCTATCTTACCCTCCGTACAGCGCGTCTCGAGGGCTTCCAATCCGTAGCCGAATTCGACTCCAACGAAAAGAATTTCCAATATATGTCCGCCCGATTCCTAGCTCGAGTGGTTGGTTCCGAAGGAGCATGCGCGGGAATGTTCACTTATCTCGAGTCTGACCCTATCCAAGAAGCCGACATTGAAATTTTAACATCTGGTCCCCGTAACGTGGTCCAATACACAAACCAACCTTCCTTAAATAAAGAAGGTGATGCCGAGCCTAGAGCTACAAGCAATGCTTCAACTGCAGACGGTGCTATGGATTGGAGTGTTTGGAATATTTATCGAATGGATTGGATGCCCAAACAGACATCATGGTATGTCAATGGCGAGAGTGTGGCAAATATCACATACCAGGTTCCGAAGGATCCGAGTGGTCTGATATTGAATATGTGGAGTGATGGAGGGGAATGGACGGGAAATATGAGTTTGTATGATGAGGCGTACCTGCAAGTTCAGTGGATTGAATTGGCTTTTAATACTAGCGGGGATTTTGCGGGCAGCAAGAGAGATCTGGAGAAGAGGAAAAGCAAAGGCTGTAAGGTTGTTTGTGGAATTGATGAAGGAGTTAATGTTACGGGTACCCCGGCGTTGTTGATCAATAATACGAATGCGGCGACATTGGGATGGAAGGAGGGGACAGGGTGTATGGGGTGGGTTCCCGTGTTTGTAGTTGGGTTGGCTGCTTTTGGGTTCTTGTGATCTTTTTCATTGATGTTACGATATATAGACGGAGATCAGAAGGGTTGAGCCTCGAGCGGGAGCGATCTCCGTATTTCAATAGGTTATGATGTAATGAATGTGAGAAATTATAATTGTCTATCACATTACCCTAGCTACCTAAGTAGCATGATATCTAACCTGGCTAGAGATCCCATCTATTACTTGCTGTAGTTTGGAAGTATATCTTGAGGAAACTTGAACTTAACCTAATTCCCTCTCGGTTTTCCTAGCTCCCTCGCTTATGCACTTTAGCATTTCATCGGAGAATGGGGCCTACTCAATCTTAAAGGTCGAGGGTCTCTCGGAAAGACTTATTGAAGACACTCGTCCACTAGATTGGGGCTTACTTGAGTTAGGTAATTCTTTGTAAGATTACCTGATCTCAATCAATTTATCAAATTCTTTCGCTTACTAATTCTTCGAAATCATGATATACACACATAAATACATACCTATAGTAGCCCCCGCAGGAGCGATCACCATGGATATCTACGATACGCCTCAACTAGATTCCGTCAGCTTGGAGTGATTATGAGAATTGATGGTATCAAATTGTGATGAGCTTGAGTTTGAGATTGCCAGTGCCCTTGGGATGGTATGATAAAGAATCTGGCAATTGGGCGGATAGGTTTTGGGTTTTTTTGTTGCCATTCCCATTTGCGATCTTTGGGAATGGGATGATAGGAATCGAATGATATAGATACTTTAGAATCCCCTTTTCAAAACATTCCGAGTCTACCATGGTAAATTTTCCATATTACATACTCTGAACCATCACATTGTTCATATCTATTTTGCAAAGCGTCGTCCCAAAACTCTCTTTCAAGCTGCCCATACAAAATCTTTACCCTGAGCATTAGCTAGGATCTGGAGTTCTTCAGTGGTGTGTGCGAGCTCTTTTATGATGCCCTGGACAGATTTCTCGGATACGGAGAGAGACAATGGAAATTTAATTGCAAAGAGGGGTAAAGAAGGGTGAAAACCTACCTGGGTCAGCTTTCCGAGCTCTCCATTTACTCCGTTCAGTTTTATTTTTCCACGTGGCATACACGCTTTTGTTCAGTGAAGAAGTATCTCGTGATATTATTCACTTCTTCGTTTTCTATTCCTTGGCCCTGATTAGATTAGGGTTCTTCGTTATTGGTCTTTGTGATTCACAATCAAAATAATTAAACCTCTGGAGTTCCAATGAAAAAGATATAACTCCACGAGTGAGAAAGTTATACACAATTGCTATGCTTCTGGTTGTTGACCAAAGATATAGCAAGTTCCGTATGAGATCAGTATCCCTATGGGATTTATTATGGAAGTTTACAACACGAATCTTTGTTGTCATTGTGTTTTTTACTTCAGGTGATATCATTCTAAAGAGATAAAATCGCATCATGTTTGACTATTTTACAATTAAACTAGCTAACCTTTCCAAACATTCATAGCATTGAATTAATATACCCTTAATGATGATTTTGAAATTCAATCCAAAGACTCCTTGGGTTTATTCATCGTGCATGTCTCTTCGCGATTTGAAGATATGAGAGCTATATATGATGAGGATCGCCCGCTATTTCACCCTTACGCCACATTCACTAGAACCCGAAGAGGTAGAAAAGCCCTTCAGTAAGGTCAGTAAGATTAGGAAAGGGGTGAATGGTCGCGGACTACATCTATTTGCTTGATGTTTCACACGAGACTCTCAGTGAACTGGTGATCTATAAATTCCCGTCGACTTCTTTTCCTTACTCACAATCTAAAGTCCATGGAATAGACACAGGAGAAGCCTCCAAGCCGTAAACGCATAACACAGCAAGACAGCTCTCGACTTGGGATTTTCTGTCTCTCTCCGAGGAAACTGGTGCACGCAAGTCTTTGATCACGGAAATGTATACTGTGAATTTCACCTAAGGGATCTTTGATAGAGGAATGAAAAACTTCAAATTTTTGTTATATATTTGCAGTGATAGGACGATTTAACATTTATCCCGCTAATGATCAAAAAGTAAATTCATAGAAAAATTTTCTGCTGTGATGATATGATGATATGATACACTGATGCGTGGGTACAAGCCAGCGGCGGGGAACTATCAGAATAGATGCAGTCCGTGAACCCGCTGGTGTCGTTTGAGCTCTCTTCTGCTTCAAATGATCTCATATTTTGGTCAGGATTTAATTAAGTTCCCAAAGACTAGAAGAGTTTATACCAAAGTTTGGAAATGACTGACTTCTCAATATTCATTACCAGATCAAATAAGATGATCTTGAGCCTCTGCAATCAACTCCAGAGCGTTGAGAATACTCGCCCCATCCTTCGAATCATATAGTCGTGGTCCTGTGATGAATTAATATCCGTTCGGCTAGCCACTTTGCTCCATCACGGATTTTATATATGCAGTAGTACGATTCCAAGAAGAAACACATAGTATGGAATCCCAGAGAGGCGGAAATTTCCGAGTATGATGGCAATTAGGTTTCTCAAATACACTGTAACTTCCATTGAAAAATTCAGACCCCTCGTTTGGTTGATGTCCTGGAGGCCTTAGCTTTACAAACAACTTCGGTGCGTCTTTGATTGTCATCATCAATTGTCATCATTTGTTTCCTTTTACAATTTTGGGTGTCAGACGGCGATGTATTCTGAGTTATTGATGTGATACATTGGCTGGTGTATACAGATTACTACATTTTTTCCCCACGCGTCTTACTTTCCACGGCTCTGAATAGCTCGAGTTTAGTCTACACTCAAATCCATTATATAAAGATTGTTTAAGTTCAGAAACTCTTCAGGTTGACTTGGAAATAACTTGTAGCTTCCTTATAAGAAAGATTATCAGACATTGAAAGGGGAGGGGGCCGGGAATGAACTTAGCCGACGGTAAATTTCCGGTATCTGTTTGAAGCTGAAGAGAATCAATTTCACTAACCAGATATCAATAATGAGATCATTTATAGGAATTAGCTTGCTAACCCCCCACAGATTACTAGCTGCGCCTCACTAGCCATGATCTACTCAATACATACGTTCACCACACTTTCAACTCTAAAGGCTTAGGTATCTCTCAAATCAACAATATATAAGTCAAGTAATTTCCGCTCAGGATATGATTTATTTTGTCAAGCCATCTCTATAGCTCCTCCAACTAAAGCCGATAGATTGTAGTCATTGCTGTGCTTCGATCTATCAAATAATTTAGCAAAAATTGACCACCATCTCAACATTTTGGTTGAAGTTTGATTGTTTCACAGGAAATCTTTCCGTTCAGGCTGAATAGTAGCTTCCATGCCGTCCTAGCTTTTGAAACGGAGAATCAATTCATGTTATCTATCTTGCTCTTTGCTGTCACGATATACAATATTTTGTCTTTAATGACAGTACTAGGCTGTGTAACTAGTAAGTAAGATGGATCTTTACACCGTAAATATCTATATGTATATTCTCAATTTTTTTCATGCAAACGCTCCGCAGGTCCAAGCCAAAAAAGATTGAAGGCCTCTTCAGATAAAGGGAATCTGGTATTGTAATTTTCAAAACTAATTAGTGACTGCTCTGCTAGTATTTGATATGGATCTCCTCAGACTAATAGCAATACAATCATTAAAACCGTGAGACTGGCTAACAAGGCCTTCTACTGCAGACAGACCTAGTCTCAGATGCCCCTCTTTTGTTGATCAGCGAATCCATTCACTTTTCCGCATTTTCCAGACTCTGAAACTTTTCTCCGCACGCTCCTCAACCACTTTCCCCTTATTTAAGAGATCGAATGGTCCATTCTAATCAATAGACAAACGTGATTGACAAACCGTTCACACACATATTGTGTCTTGTGAGCTTTGTGCACAACTATGTGGCTCCTATTGAATAAATTAAGCGTGAGCTTGCGTAGATCTTAGCAGGGGAATTCTCCCGCGAAAGCCCTCGTAATTCGAGGTTCAGATAGAACTCATCATGTTTTCGATAGTAGAATTTAGCATGGAAGATTGACAACAATAAATGTACAACGACAATCGTGGGATTAGAACTGCTGTGGAATGAAAGTCAGGTCTTTGCTTAGAAATGGACCTTTCGTTTGGCAATTTGCAACAATTAATGACAGATTTAGGCGGTTCGTCATTCATAAGGTTTTGACTGCTTCTGTGAGTACACCCCGGGTCCATCGAAGAGATTCATCCGTATTAAAGTTAAAGAAGCGACTCACGTTTCGTTACCGCTACAGATGATCCGATTTAGTTTCTCACATGAACTAGTGTCACATAAGCCCATCTACCGTTCTCCACTATCATAACTTCGAAGGTTCGTAGATTGAGTCAATACCCTGGATGAAATGAATCTGAACTACAGTCGTATGATACTTGTTCGTTGATGTAACCCTACATGCGGGGCAGGTGAGGGGAAATGCGGGGAGGAATAATGTGTTACCCTAAGCATAGCTAATGTTGTTGCCATCACCATTCAAGGTGTGGTACTCCGGATATATTGAATGCTGTGTAATTCTGCGTGCCGGGATATGAGAAAGGGAGTGAAGATTTCGTTGAAGTCTATATAAAGACACAACATACTCAAAATATCTCCCAATCTTATTCATTCTTCAACCTCGGGTTTGAAATCTTAAGAAGGAAATCACATGCAAAATGGGAAAGAAGGTCATTGCCGCCGCGGTTCATGCCGCTCCAGTCTTCATGGATAAGAAAGGCAGCATCGAAAAGGTTTTGCAACTAATCAAGGAAGGAAAAGAGCAAGAAATTGAATTATTAGTCTTTCCCGAGACATTCGTTCCTGGATATCCAGTGAGTCCCTTCGATTCATTTCTTCTGCTACTCAGACTGACGCAGAACCTTTAAATAGTACTTCATTCACACCCACCCACCCCTCAAGATCGTTGATGCACAAGCTCAATATGCGGACGAAAGTGTAGTCGTCGGAAGAACAGGCGGTGATCTCCTCCCTATCATGTATCTCTGTGCCGAACTAAAAATAGCTGTGTCGATCGGAATATCAGAGCGTGTGGAAGGAGGCCACACACTGTTCAACTCGCAAGCGTTTATCGATACCGACGGAACTCTCCTCGGGGTCCATAGAAAGATTCAACCTACGCACGCCGAGCGCACGCTCTGGGCACAAGGAAGCGGAAATACCTTAAAAGTATGGCCAAGCAGCGTTGGCCGAATAGGAGGACTTGCATGTTGGGAAAATGGAATGAATAACGCACGTCAAGCATTAATCGAAGATCGACAAGAGATTCATGCTGCAGCATGGGCAGCCCTTAACACTGTATCGGGATTCGAATCGGTAGCAAACATTCAGATCGAAGCGTTGATGAAAAATCATGCATTTACAGCACAAGTATGGGTCATTTGTGCAAGTAATTATGTCGACGATAGGACTTTGGAGTGGATGGAGGAAACCCTAGGACCGCAGGATCTTGTCAAGAAGGGTGGGGGATGGAGTGCGGTTATTCATCCTTTTTGTGCTGTGTTGGCGGGTCCGCATACGGGAGCTGAGGAGAAGTTCTTGAAGGCAGAGATTAACTATGATGAACTAGGTGGCGTGAAAGTTTGGATTGATGCTAGTGGACATTATAAACGTCCTGAAATATTGAAGTTGGACGTTGATAGAAGTCCAAAATGGCCGGATGATGAAATCCTGGCAAGTGGTGCTTCTATAGACCTCAGACCTACGATGGAGTAGGAAGTCAGTAACAATTGGGGGTTCAGTATCAATGAATGTTGTTTGCTCATAGCGAGAGGCCATCCAACGGGATTTAAAAACTGAAATTCAAGACTGAAGTTTGAATTGCTTGAAACATTAATTTCAGCAACCTTGTTGTAATGTTAATGTTTGTATTGTTCCTTTATTATACATCGAGTGATTGAATCTATACTTCCTCTCGCAAGAAAACCTCAGATTTGCATAGCATCAGTCGTCTACCTCATACCCTCGTTAACTTTCTCATCTTCAGAGTCCTTAGCGATGCTTGCTTCAACGATTTCCGCAGCATGGATTATCCTTGCCCAGCTTGCGCACCCAATCATAGTCTTGCACAGATTTCCCTCTTTGTCCCTTTCTTGCATATTTTGTTCTCCAGTTTTTCCGACACCAAATTTCTTGTAGAACTGGCGTGCATGCTTAGGGGAAATCGTGTAGGGGCGGCTACCGCGATAGTACAACGAATCCTCCCTATCCCTCATAAACTCCTTTCCCCATTTAGCGATACGAACAATTTCATTTCTAAGTTTCTTTGTGTGTGCATGCTTTGAAAGAGCAAGATATCCATCCACAAGATGATGTAAGAAAAAGGATCCGTCTGAAAGCATTCTTTGAGATAGATTTGGATTACAGTGATCGAAAAGTGCGCCCTCGGGATTCATTGCTGCTTCCGCGATTTCTATTGCCGTTGACAGATATCTAAGATCGTTGGTAGCTTCGTACAATAGTGTAAATCCATGAATGGCGAATCCACTATTATATGACCATTTCGTACGTTCGATTTCCGTGGATCCATCTTCTTTAATTTTCAATTGATCCCAGATGAGTTTATCTTTTGGATCTTGCAAGTTCTCCTGAAGCCAAGTCAATAAGATTGTGGCAAACCTAAGATAAGATTCAGCTTTATCGCGAGTCTCAATGACATGAGTTGACGGCAAAGCTCTTATTCTCAAGGCCGATACAGCAGCTGGGCCAATTGAGCAAGCAGCTCGAACTGTCTTGTCTGAGAGATGCCATGCGATGCCACCTGATTCTTTCTCCGCAAATGGCATAATAAAACACTCCAGAACGTCCTTGGCTTGAAGTAAAAACTCGAGCTGCCCGTAACTTCATACGACGATACTAAAGCTTGAACGACGTGAGCGTTATCATCATAGTAAATGTCTTTATTTCCAAGGAACATCTTCCAAGCACAAATGCATGGTAGTCCTTGTTCCAGTATTCTTGCTGTACTTTTTCAACTTGATTTATTCTCGAATGCGAAAGACAGTCGGCAGCTGCATGAAGCATGATAGAGACAGGCCATAAGACATATGCGAAATCATTTTCTTTCCCCAGAGTACTTTCGTGCTCTACTTTGCCCTGGAATTGGTGTTTTTCTCTACAGTAAAAGTATTGAAAGGTCTCCTCAGCTAGAGTTCCAGATTCAGTCTCGCAGTTCTTTGCATCAAATATGTATGATTCATTTCGGAAGAATGACGAAATAGGCGGTTTGAACGGGTCCGGACGGGGTAATTGTGCCTGAAATCGCACCAAATCTTCATCACGAGGCTCGTCAACGTGTTCCACATTTTGATGAACATGTAATTCTCGGAGCTGCTCTTCCAGAGTCATTCCGACAGGTTGTTCAGGGATCAGAGACTGTTGCTGCTCTGTAGTCACTTCATCAGCTTGCTCGGAGATCGTAGACTGTTGCTGCTCTGTAGTCATTTCACCAGTTTGTTCAGAGCTCGTTGACTGTTCCTGAGGCGTGGTAGAGTCTTGATCAGGCCTCTTAATCTTTTCTTTGACTTTCCTAGTGCTCTTCTTCACGAATTGTCTCATCGTGATTTGTAATGTTATTTTGACAGTTTGGAATAATGTTTATGGAACACGGGAAAAGAAATTAAATGAGCTTGTAACTTATCTTTTATTTACACCATGCCACATAGATTTACTGTATCGCGATTGCCATGAATCTTAGCTGCGTTGCAAACAGTGCTTGGAATGCGGGCAGGGCAGGTACGCTCGGGTGCTGCACTGGGCTAAGGTTTACACAAGTGTCATTGCGCCACATTAGAAGCTCAATGGCTCAATGGCACACGAATAGAGTGCCTCGATTACCACAATTGTAATTACGACTTGTTATATGGTAATGATAAAATTAATTACTCTAGCAAATTGATGTTATCCTCGTCTAAATGTATAAAAAGCAGATACCCTATTCGATTGAAAGTTGTATTTTGATGAAGAACTAGCAAGCTACATAATTGAATACTCAAAACACTCAATGCTTTGTCGCTCCTTCCTAGATGCTCCCACATAAGGCGATCAGGAAAGAGGGTAAAACTTTTTCGATTGGTCGATCTAGGATTTTGCTTGAAGTCTATCGAGTGGTCAGCTTACTGGGGCATCTCTACTGTCCAAGATACAAGTGATGAAGTTTCGTTGACCTGCTTTGTAGTGATTTAGAGACAAGAGGTTATTTTCGTATTAGTTGTATCATTTGTCATTTGTTCCAAACATAGGCTTCCTCGACTATTTATGTCACTACTTCTTGCCAATTACCAAATTATTGAGTTCTTGTCTGAAAATTCATTGACACCTCCCTCCTTCGGCTAACTACCTCGGAGAGTGAATTCCCTATTGTGAGACCAACTTGTGTCCCTTTCGTATTTACATCCTTAACTCCACATCTCTTAAACATTGCCCTCAAATCCCACGACCGTAGTTTCCCCGTGCTTAAACGTCCTCAATCCCGTTCTGGTGATCTTCAACTGACTCCCACAATTTGGATCTGGACATGCTATCAGTCCGTCTGTGGTCATCCAATCATTGGAATGGGTGAAGCGTTGCTTTGCTGCTAGTAGAGGGAGAACCGATGCTGTGGGGTTGTTAGTTTTGGCCTAATCTATTGGTAGGGAGCTCATGAATGAAGTAACGAACATAAACTGTATATGCTAATTCCCTGGCCAGGTGGTAAATATAGCATTTCTCCCTCGAGAGTAAAATGATCACCTTCCTTGGCACCACAGAGGATTTTGGAAGAGGGAGGGCAGATAACTTCGACACGGAGATCGAAAAGCTGAAAGGAATCATCAATCGGGGTTGAAGATGTCGTCGCCATTTTTATGGTTGGGCTCGGAAGTAGAGATCGTCAAAAGATGCTGTGTGGGTAGTGGTGGTAGTAGAGTAGGCTTGGATTTGAAATCGGCTCGGAGAGTGTAACCTTAGTTCCGGGTAAGAGTATAGATTTGAGTGTGTCTTCGGGACCACAGCCTTGATATCTAACCTTACCAAATAATAAGGCTCTCAGGATCTGTCAACACAACAACCCACTGAGAGACCGAATACTATCGGCGTTCTACGGTAAAGAATCATTATTCCAGGTTCCCCGCACGATATGAAGGATCCCCCACTTTTGAACACCGATAATGGAGATAGTGACATATCGAATGCTGATTGCAGATCAATTAAGATACGAGTCAACACACTCTGACAACTTAACGAGGAAGACTGTTATCGGACAAAAGATTCCCCTCGCTCATCCAAAAGCCAGCATCGGTCATCAAACCATCCCAGATTTCCTTATCATGTAGTAAATCCGTGCTGAAATCCGGCGTGCTCCCATTTATTGAAGTTGTGTCTGTCAATTCCCCAGTGTCCTGATAGGATTGAACGGGTCTGGGGACCTGGTAGCTTGTACCCACATCGGTGTTCATTCGATTATGGAGACTCTCTAGTGACGTTGGAATGTCGGGTTGATGCGAGTGAACACCGTGATCTCGGACTTGATTGCTAGCATGGGATTTCAATCTATGGTATTTCCCAACGAGATTTTTCAAGAATCGTGCTTGCATTGCACAGCCCGTCATTTTTGTAGCACATTGTTCTGAGAAGGTATCGGATGAGAGGAGAATTGCCTGTAACGATTGAGTCTCGAGATCTGAGCGTAAATTCTTAGGAAGAGATAGCAGCAACTGCCATTGTCAGTAGTTTATTTCAGACATTGTGAAACGTTTGACAATAAACGAATGTACCCACCTTAATGAGGAATATGGCAGCATAAGCTGTCATCACATGAACAGAGTCCTGTACAAAGTAGAGCTGTTTGAGAGGCCCAATGACTTTCGATATATTCTCCAACATGCCGATTGCACTTGAAGAACATTGCCACAGTGCTGATTTCGATACTGCAGATCCTTCCTTTGCAGCTTTGAGGGATTGTTGCAAAGTATAGGAGTTGAGAAGGAGGCGGAGATGTAAGCCATAGAAGTTGACAAGGAATTGCTGAGGAGGTGCGACCATTTCTATGGAAACTTAGCGACAGGTCAGATATCAGGAAAGATTCAACAAACCATCTTCAAATTTGGGCAACCAATCCTTTTCCCAGGCGTTGAGTTCGGTGTTTAAGAGTTTAGACAAAATTTCTGACCGGAACTTTTGAGAATCTAATTTAGTCGATGACGAAAGCTCGAGAAACTCGGCACTGATTAAACGTAGACAGACAAACGCCGAGAGAAGCAGATCCCCACCAGGTACAGCGTATTCTTCTTGGTACCATTCGCTTGCTTTTGATATCAGGTTGTTTTGGTCTATCATCCAGGGTTTGTCGAGTTGTAAGCTTAAGCTTCGATCTGTTAGAGAATATGGTCAGGTTAAGAATGGGGTAAAGACTAACCTTCTGTCATAAACAAATAATACCAGCCATGTTCTCTCAATATTTCTAGCTTCCCTGATGCTTAATTCATCGGTCGAGGTCCGCGGCTTTTGTGTCACCGGTTTCAGTTCGTGCCACCCGAGCTCAATGCACATGCGAATGGCATAGCCAACGAGTAGCCAAGTGCGTATCTCAGCTGGTTCTTTCCAATAAGTAAAGATTAATATTGCTTGAACAATCTCTGTGGACTTAGCTCCCCGGGTAAATACCCTTCCGAGTAGATTTTCGGTATGCGACCTGAGTGTGGGATGAAGCGCGGGGTGAAACGCTTTAGAAGAGGCTGAAAGAATTGCAGTGAGGAGGAATGATGAACGTTGGCGAACGCAATCAAATGTATGGAGTTTAGGGTCTAATTGACAGATGTATGGATTCAGACAACGCATAAAACTATTCCCTGTCAGATTCAAAGGCAATTTTTCTCATAGTTCCGTCTTATAAGGATTTCAAATCATTGAGTCTTACCTATCGAATAAACCAAGTGCAACAGGAAAACTGAGCATGTTTACATGTGATCGGATCATTGAAGTTATCTGCACTTGGGGTTGGTGATCTCGGTGGAGGGTGAGGTCTCAGAACATCCGGCACAGAAAGAATATTCTCTAGAGAGAATTTCCCAAATTGTGCTTCCCTACTTAGTATTCCAACTTGTTGTAATCCTTCGCTGCCCCATGATTGTGAAGTTTGGGGTGGAGATGTATCTAATATACCACTTGGTATGGCGTTTGGAGGTGTTTGTCGTTCCATCTCACCACGAAGATGTGTTGCAGCTGGGGGTTGATTTAGTGACTCGGCAATGCTTCCGCTTTCAATTTGTGCATTTGGCCTCTGAACTTTTCGTCTTATCCTAAAGATAATTAGTACATAAATCATGCTGTACTGCATTTCAGTGAGATTGTGAATACTTTGTTCCAGGCTTTCTCCCTCTTCGATGCTGCTCAAATATACATTCAAGCGACTTTCGTTTGCATCGCTCACATTTCTCATCGAGCGAAGTGCTTTTACACTTTAACTTTACACTCCGGCATGTCAAACATGCTATTTGACTTCAGATTTTTTGTCATTATCAACATCTGAAAGTTCAGCTCGAATGTGACTTACCTACTAAGTTTTGAACTAGAATGGCCAGGATGTACAGACGACGACGAAGACATTGTTCTCGAACAATTTGTTGGTATAGCATTGATCAAAAGGAGAAACACCTTTCAGGCAATTCGAGTACATATAAATGAATCTAGATTCCAGGATGCAACGCACTGTTCCAGCCTAATGTCCGGGGAAGATAGAAGATAGTCAAATAGCTTATCAGTGACCTGGCTCCTAGCCTGCTATCATCCCCCCACCTTTGTACAAATTTCGCCTCTTCTCTTTCCGGGCTGTAACCCCGAGAATGCAGTTGCTCAAACGGTGAAAGTTCCAGATTACTTTGATTTTGAGTTTACTGTCTATATTCCGCTCCACAATCTCCCATAGCTTCGAAGACATCTTTAGCTCTTGATCTATTTAATACACTTTGTATCGCCCCTTTATCTTCTACGTCGAGAACAAATGAGAAAGCTTTAAGATTTTCATCGATGTGCTCGCTGATCCCCATTCTTGCGCCTATTATGACAGCCCCGACATAATCGTGGTCCAACACCCATCTTATCGCCGCACTGGAAACAGAAACGTTATGCTTGGATCCAATTTTTGCCAGAATGTTTAACAATTCTTGAAAAAGTATCCATCCTCCCCATATGTTGATCATTTCGAAATATTTTCGATGACTTGGGGTCATGTTCTCGTCGAAAAGATTGGGAGCAGGTTTTCCAACCCATTTATCAGCTAAAAACCCGCCACATAACGAGCCATAAGTGAGTAGTTTAACGTTATGTTTCCTACAGCTTTCAACCATCTTAAAAGTGGGTCTCAGATCTATCAGGGAGAACTGAACTTGGTTCGAGACTGCCTTGACACCGCTTTCCAAAATTTCGCACATGTGATCTGAGTCGAAATTGCAGAGACCCAAGCTTTGGACGTTGGGATGCATCTCTATCAATCGCGCTGCTTCCACATATTGGTGATCGTTGTACTAAATTATTTGTCAGTGCATCACCGTCAACCCTTGCCATCGTGTACATACATCTTGCCAATGAAATTGGAGCAATTCCACGCTTGTAGAGTTTATCGCAGTGAGACGCTCTGACACATTTGCATCTACAACCTCTTTTGTTACTTGGATAGGTTCGAAGACCGCCCATTTCGTCGCACAGTACATCTTCTCGGAATCTTCTTGTCCCGATCGAAATTGTCCCTAACATATGTCAGTAGGCTAGCTTGCATTAACGACACCTGACTTACGAATGTCACTTCGGCATCACCATAATGATCAGCCATATCATATGCAATAAGCCCAGAATCGACATGCTTCCTAAAATGACGATCAATCTTCGATCTAGAAGCAGTCCCCCAAGCAGGACTAGAGAATTGCCAGAGCCCCATAAACATTCTGGGTACTTCAGCCGGTCCCAATTGAAAAGATTCTAATGCACTTTTCGAAGATTGAAATCCATTTGTCCGACGAAGGATTTCATTCTTCTGTAAAGGTTGAATTTCGCTGCCAGTTCCTTCAATCAGTTTCTCGAGACAACAAAGCCCACGGTCAAAGGGGAAATCTTGCCCGCGAGCAACAGCGATTCTTCTGCAGGCATGTAGTACTTCTCGTAATGTAGCAATAGTCTTGGAATCTTCGGTATTCATGGGGCGCATTCCTGAACTGGTAAGAAGTAATTTTTGTACCGCTGTTATTGACTGTACGACATCCCCATCGATAGTTGCTAGAATATCCAGGAACTCTTCTCCTTCTGCAGTTCTTTCGTCCCACTCCAAATTGTGTATTTGTTGTATGACGCTGGTGAGAAGTTCCACACTTTCGAATCCAAATCCACAGCCCATCAGACACCTATATCGACTCTGAATTCGCTGAAGGTCTGAAGTTGGTCGTGGTGATCCGCTAGATGTGCTGAAGAGCTCCGGTATGGAAGATGGCTTCGTGTTTGCAAGGTACTTTGAAGCAAGTTTGGTGAGACCGGCTGTATTTGAAGTATTTTCTCCTAAAAGACCTCGAAGTATTGATCGTAGACCGTCCGCTGGCATATTCGCAATGATGCAGTCTGTCATCATATTAACATGAGCAGCTTTCGCTGGAGACTTCGCAGCATTTTGTTCAGTATCCATATTGACCAAATGTGGTGCAATGAAGGGAAATTCAATTGATTGATCGTTGAGAGTCTTCATCTGAATTATAATTGAAAAGTCTTTTTGTGCTCAAACTGAACTGTCTGCTTCAGAGTATATAGACCCCTCAACGATTTGCCCACTCTCCATATTTCGCCCCCAATATTTACATAATTCATCGCGAAGACGTGCATGTTTGAAAGTTATCGACAGATCTTGGTGGGGAAACACCTTATCGTCTTGAACACCGAACACGCTAAATACCCCTGAAAGAATTAGTGTTCTATTGCACGGGGTCTTAATAATCCCCGACAATTTGCCTATCACGTTTGAACACCGATCTTTACGTCCTGCTTATCTTATCAAGCACATGGATTTCAAGATACTGCAGTTTCCTAACGTACATCGACTATACCTGTTACAATATGCGGTATCTGGTGTCGAAGGGGTTCTTGAACCCTGGAGTGATATAGTATGTCGATCGAGGCCCCCTTGACATCAGTATAATTGCCTGTACTATCCTTCTAATTGAGAATAGATAACCCATTATTTAGTTTTTACTCATGACTTCAAACTCGACTGGATCCGTGGATCCAAAATCATCTTACATGATGAAGTCTGAAGTATTTTCTCATCCAGAAACTGATGTCGACGCCGAAATAGGCTCCACTGAAGATGTTCCCCCTGGGGAAGAATTGAAAAGGAACATGAAGGGGCGCCATATCAATATGATAGCTATCGCTGGTATGATCGTAGGTCATGCTCAAAAAGATCAAAGAACTGCGCACTAATGATATAAATCAGGGAACGGGACTGTTTCTGAGTTCCGGGACTACAATCGCCCAAGCTGGTCCCGCTGGTGCATGGCTTGCATACATTTTCATGGGATTCGTTACCGCAGGGGTCAGCGTAAGAGTTCCAAATTCCTTTATAGCAATGGGAAGTTGGTGATTGATTAAATGATAGTATACGACTGGAGAGATCACTGCGTTCATGCCAGTGACTGGTGGGTTCGTGCGTCATGCTACGGCATTTGTTGAGCCTGCTCTAGGAGCCGCGACTGGATGGAACTTTTGTAGGCTCTGATATCTTAATTCTCAAAGGACTTCGGCTTATTTAATTTAGGGTACACAATGGCTATTTCAGTGCCGGCGGAACTAAGTGCAGCTGCGACACTCATCCAGTTCTGGGATTCGACCACAAATCCAGCGGTTTGGATTACTGTGTTCTTGGTCGTGATAGTATGCCTCAATTTCTGTGGTGTGCGAATATATGGTGAAGTAAGACCTCTGAACTGCTCGCTTATTGTGCTGAAACTAATTGTGATTTCATAGTCCGAAGTCATTTTCGCTTCCATGAAGATTGCTCTCATCATTGGCTTGATTATTGCAGGACTAGTCGTTGATCTTGGTGGGGGACCAAAAGGAGAACGACTTGGGTTCACCTATTGGAAATCACCAGGGGCATTCAATGAATATCTAGTCAGTGGTAACACAGGGCGATTTCTGGCGTTCTGGTCCTCTCTCATTAGCGCTGCCTTTAGTTATGGCAATGTTCAAGTAGTGGCACTTTCGGGTACAGAAACGGGAAATCCCCGAAAGATAATCCCAGAAGCCACGAAGAAGACGTTCTTCCGTGTCTTCTTCTTCTATGTTTTAAGCATCTTGATAGTAGGAATGATTGTGTAAGTCATTTTTTCTATCCCGTTGTATACTTTACTTGACTAACAATTCTTAGTCCATATGACAGTGAAGCTCTATCTGTTTCTACCGGAACAGCTGCCTCATCCCCATTTGTTATTGCTTTCAAGGCCGCTGGAATCAAGGTTCTGCCTTCTATTATTAACGCTGTTGTCTGTACATCTGCTATCAGTAGTGGATCTGCTTGTATCTTCCTGGCGTCTCGTACACTCTATGGCCTAAGTGCAGATGGCCATGCTCCAAAGATCTTCATGAGGTGCAATCGATTTGGAACCCCATGGTACGCTGTTGGTCTGAGCGTGCTACCATCACCTCTTGTGTACATGGTCGTTAGTAACCAGGCATCTGTTGTGTTTGGGTGGTTTGTAAACATTACTACGGTGGCGGGCTTGATTGGATGGGTCGTCATTGAAGTTACTTACCTCAGGTTTTTCTATGCCCTGAAGCAGCAGGGCATTTCTCGAGATTGTAAGAAATTGCCCCCCCCCAGCCTTCATTTCATTTACTAATAGTGTTGTAGCTTTACCTTACAAGGGCCCCTTTCAGCCTTACATAGCATGGATCACGGGATTTATGGTCTTTTTGATTGTGCTTTTCTCTGGTAAGGTTGTTATCTTCAATAGCAATTATTTTTTTGCTAACGAGATGCTTAGGGTATGCTGTATTTTTCCCGGGAAATTTTACCGCTTCTGGGTTCTTGACATATTATATTAATATTGCAATCTTTATCGGTATGCTTCTTTCAAATCTCACATTAATACATGCTAATCAAGTCAATTATTCGTAGTTCTTTATGTGTTTTTCAAGATTTTCCTGAAATCAAAAATCATTCCACTAGAGAGCATACATTTTGAAGCAGAGCTAGAATCAATACGCAGATGGAAGTATACATCCGAGCTCGTGAAAGAGGAGCAAAGTCTCGCGAAAAGAATCTGGAATAAAGTTTTCTAACCTTGTCGCGGAAACTCTTTTTTGCGTAGTACCCATAATATATCCTCTATTTCCTGTATTTGTAGTTTTAGTTGATAATGAAAGACATTCGTTGGTCATTGTTCCTTGCCTTCACTCCTTGACAACAAACTGATTAACTTCGGTTTTGACCATGGTTTCTGTACTCCCGGTATGGTTTATGCAATTGAAAGTCTTCAATCGTATCAATGCCAACAGAGTTATACTCTTCTGTCCTAAGACTGAAGCTTATGTCTCAAAGTTGGGATGATTTGGTGGGCCCATGCGCT